GGCGATCGGCGGGCTATGGACCCGCTGATCGCCTATATGTGTAACACCCGGTACCGGGTGTTCGCATTGGACGGGTCTTTTCTGCCCGTGCGTGCCCGCTAGGGGGTGCGCGCGAGCAGAAAAAAATTGCCGTCTGGAGACGGCAACCCGCAGATGCTGCAGTGCCGTCCGTCCGTTTTTTTACTACGGGCGGACGGCAAGAGGTTAATGTAGATAAGCATAGCAACATTTGGTATACATTAGGGATGCACCAAAATGAAATTTTGATTTTACATTTTGTCAGGCCGGAACCGAAAATTACTTTTTTTTCCAAGCTTTTAAAAATGTTTACAATAATTTTTTAATTTTTGTATTATTCATGTATTTTTGTGTTACTTTACTGTTAGGGACTTTGGGGAAATATTTCCTTTTAAAATAGATTCCTCAATCCTTTTTTCTGCAGCCCTTGTTATGAATAAACAGGAAGCTTCTATACTGAGTGCTCCTTGTCCATTCATGAACTGTGGAAATAATATGAGTTATTATGTTCACAATCATGAATGAACAGGACGTGATGTAGAGGACTTTATGTTCATTCATAACTGGGGACACAGCAAGCATACTATGTCCTCAGTAATTTACAAACACTCAGCGATCAGTTCTGATCGCTGAGCGCTTGTAGTCCACTCTCCATCCTGACTTCGGCTGTGACAGCTGACAGCACAGCCCAACTCGGCAACCTGCGAGCTGTCTCTTCTCACACCGCCTCGCTCGGCATCCTCAGAGCTGTCTCTCCCTGTACTGCCCCGTTCAGCCTATTGAAAGCTTCTGTCCTCCCTGCTGGGCGCCGGCAGCTGGATCCTCCGTTCCATAACAGGCCCCCTCCCACAAGCCATGGGGTGGTGGTTGTGGGGGTGCGGGCAGGGGGCTTATTTACATCAGGTGGGTACCATCAGGTGGTACCCAGATGTGCCCCGCCCCCCATTGTGAATGACTAAAGGTTTTAAAAAAACTTTTTTTTTTTAAACCCTGTACGCTCCCGACGAACTCCCGCCGCAGAATGACATTCTTTTTTTTTGTTTAATATGTTTTTTTGTGTGGCTACTTTTGTTCTCCATGGTCCCTGTGGACTAGAATCTCAATACAAAATAATCCATCATGAGAGTGAGCTTAAAGCGGTGACTACTTTACAACACACACAGGGACCATGGGGAAGAAAAGTAGCCACCCTCCAGAAGGAAGGACAGTGTCAGCATGAATCCAGAGATGATTTGAGGATCTACAGCTGAGTGATACACAAATAAGATACATTTTTGTTAATAGTTGGAGTACTTTTGTTAACCTTCCTGGCGGTAATCCCGAGTGTGGCTCAGGGTTAATTTTCAGTACCAAAAGCGAGCCACACTCGGGATTACACTGTGCGTCACTTACCTTGTCCCTACGAGCCCCGCTGTGTCCTTCAGCCGATGCCGGCATCCGTCTTCCAGGTTCCTTCTCTTGCGTGCGCCCGCGTCGCAGGGGGGCGGAACCGGCTGCAAATTTAAAAGTAAAAAATAGGGGGGGAAAACGGAAAAAAAAAAGAAAGAAAAAAGAGAAAAAATACTGAGATAATCAGACCGCCAGGGAGGTTAATAGTTAGAATGTATTTTTCAGATTTAACTCCTGAGTTTAGTGTAACTTTTAATTTTAAAAAAATTATGTTTTGTAATATTGTAAGCCCTCAGGGGATGGGCCCTCCTTACCTTCTTGTCCTGAATTGTACTGTAATTGTAATGTCTTCCTTATATTGTAAATCGCTGCACAACCTGTTGGCGCTATATAAATCCTGTATAATAATAATAATGGGGGAATTTATCAAAACTCGAGCAGACAAAATTTGAAACAGTTGTCTGTGGCAACCATTCAGTTTCTAGCTTTCATTTCCAAAGCCTAAAGCTGGCCATACACCTATAGATTATCTGCAGGTTTTCTGTGGTCAGATGGAAAAAGTGCAACAGTTTCCTCCATCTACGCTAAACTGTGTGGATGGAGGAATCTCCCACTGGGCCAAGCTTCAGTATCTTGCTACTCAGCACTGCTGGCTCTCAAAATGCCTGAACAATGCCTGCATCCAATCAGATTGTTCAAACATTTTGACCATCAGCGGGGCTGACTAGCAAGCTACTGAAGCTTGGTCCAGTGGGATATTCCGCCATCCACACAGCGTAGATGGAGGAATCTGTTTCACTTTTTCCATCTGACTATAGAAAGTCTACATATAATCTATAGATGTATGGCCAGCTTTAGTGAACAAACTGAAGCTGATTGGTTGTCATGGGAGATTTTGTCTGTTCCAGCTTTGATAAATCCCCCTCTGTATATTTTGTTAGGAGACAGGCAGATTGTTTACAGATCCCTTCCTTTAGGTTCACATACACTAAAAAAAAAAAAAAAAAAATCAACCTTTCCAAGTTGGAGTGAAGACAGACATGTAAGGGCAGCCTGGAGCAGAAGTGTGCTGCATGTGTCAGCCAGCAGCATACCATTCTTGTCTCAGCTCCAGTCTCCCAGGCTCTTTTTCTATGAAGATGAGCATGGCTGATAAAAAAAAAAGCTGCCGGTTGCTGCCAGATATGTCGGTAATTGGAAACAATAGGTCTGCAGCAGCAGCAGAAGGGTAATTACGGTAATGCAGGAGTGGAGCTTGTGGATGCAGATCGTGTGATGCACAGCAGGGGAAAAGTCTGCCACTTGCCCATTGACAGACGATCGGTAAACTTCCAGCCCGTGCTCCTTCTCCTGGGCGTGGCCAGCTGTCAGCCGTGATCGAGCCTCACACCGTGCACTTAACTTTCCAGCAGCGTGTGATCAGTGCAGGAGCCTCCCCTCACTCCTCCCTTGCAACTTACCCACCTCATCCTCCCTCCCCTTCCCTGCCATCGGGGGAATAAATCAGAAAAGGAAACGGAGAGAAGGAGACTGGGAGCTGAGAGATCTCATCCTAAAGTATCACTGATGGCGGCTCATCAGATCCCCCTGCCAGAGTAAAAACAAAAACAAAAAACTGTAGCGCTCAGCCCAGTGTCATCCTATTGCTGACTGGAGTTGTACTGTTATTTCTTTATTATTTTTCCTCCCTCTCTCTCTCTCCATCCCATCCCTACATTGCACTGGATAGGAGATCTGCCTGTTAGATTGTGAAGATGGCTGCTTCCTGGTTTCTAGTCTTTACTCTGACACTTTTCCAATCCATGCTGATCTGCCGTTCCTCTGAAGAATACTTTCCTACCGCAGCAACGTAAGTACCCAGCTTTGTATCGGCTATGTATACCGTCACCGTGTACGAGGTAGCGATCGCGGCTGTGACATTTCCACTGCTTGCTGATAGGGAATTACTTTTTTTTTTCCCAGTCCCCGGGAATCTGCAAGGGAGCAAAACTCAGGTCCCGGCTCTAAATATAACCGGCTATTAAGCTGAGCTGGGAATAAAGTTTCATGTGATCTCTTTATAAGGGAAGGTCGTGCTTGGGCATGGGAGTGAACCTCCAGATCTCATCTAGTTCTCCTAGAATGCACTTAGCAGGACGCATGCTGCTTCTTCCTCACTGATCATACAAGCAGGGACCCATCAAGCACGCTTGTTGTGACAGTTGTTGCTTCCTGGAGAAGAGAAAAAAAAAAGAAAGAGACCCATGAATCTCTCTGCTGCCTGTATTCATAAATCAAGTGTCTAGAAGAGATGGAATAGGGAGCTGGCATCTGAGCCATAGGACCCTAGAAGGGATGGGTACCAATACTGCTTTTATCATGCACATCTAGGACCAAATGAGCCTTATTTTGACTTACAAATACCTAAGTTTATGTACTGCCATTAGAAATATTTTGCCTGTATGGGAGTGGAGGGAAGAGGAGGAAATATCCTCAGCCAAACAAAGCCCAAATCTTGATGTGCTCTTCTGTGCCTTGACTCTGGCTAGGGCAGTGCAGGATGGAAGAGACTTTCCACCGCTTGCCAGTAGTACATTTGTCCAATTAGTGTAGCTTGTGTGCTGTTATAAATGGATCCTGTTCCCAGGATTTATTCCATTATGTATCCGACCAAGAATAATTGGCAGCACACAGCATAGACTTTTCTAGGAGGCTGAGAATATTTCAGGGTTTGCTTCTTGTGTATTAAACATTTACAATGATCCTACACTCTGATAGATAGATAGATAGATAGATAGATAGATAGACTTTCTACTAGTACATCTGCTGACATGTGGAGGGTAAAATACATTTCAAATCAAGCACCAGGCTTTGTGTTTTCCACCTGTGTTTGTTGTTATTTTTTTTCAGCAACCTTTTATTTTCACAATAAATTCAGGTCCCCCATTGAAACTATTTTGTGTTTATATAATATGTTTCCATGTTGATTTATAGCATGGAAACATCTCAGGAGTGTCCTTAGACAACTCACTGATATTCACCACCTCAGATGTCGAGAACACATTAAAATTTCATTCACTGTTGTGAAAAGTATTTACTATATTCCTTAGGGAGTGTGTCACTACATCTAGCCAATGTGCCTTTATTTAGTCCAAGACACAAGCTGCCACTGAAAATCTCTGGTGGCAAAAATATTAAAATGATGTGAACATGGAAAGAAAATGGAAAGTAGAAATGTTCTGTCATATATGTAAATGGCACATTTTCATGAGTCTCGTTGCTTATTATTTTTATACACAGAGTACGTATATGTATCATTTATTTTATATATATATATATATATATATTTCCTGACACCTATTATATTATATAATGTGTGTGTGTTTTATAATTTTATATATATACATTTTCTTTTAAAATTAATAAAAAACCATACACACACATCCGCCTATGTATGTAAGTGTGTTTACATATGTGTTTGTATACACAGACAAATATAATATATCCATCTGTCTATATGTTTGTATATGTATTTATTACAGCGAGTGGATCTTTTGTTATGGTATCCTATTATATATATTATATTTGATCATTTCTAATTGATTTGATACCCTCAAAGAAACGTGCATCATTGTATATGTTAGGGTTGATAAAGTACCAATTTCTTCCATGTGCACAGTTAAAAAAAAGAATATATATGTTTAAGCACACTGGTCACTTGCTGTCTTAGTTTGTGGATTGAGAGAACAGGTGGTGCTTTGCACATATTCCTTTCAATTTAAGCTGGTGTGTCATCTGCTATTATGTGTCAAATCATTAATGATCTTGGCCCATGTATATATGTAATTCTAAGCAGTGCTGGCTGCTACAAATGCATTTATTAAAGGGGCAGATTAGCATTGCAGTACAGGGGCACAATATACACATCTGTCATTCATTTTATTTCTATGATTTTGACTATATGGGAAGCATTTATATTAAAAAGCACACCATGAAGCCATAATATTTGCATTAAAAGCTGTACACAGGTGTGACCATAATACCTGCTTTGGTTCTTTGAAATCTGATCATGAAATGTGCATGTTTACAGAGGGTGCTGTGCTTTCTTTATCTTGTATCTAGGGAGGCAAGAAATCCCAGAATATAATGAAATATTACGTTAATGATTCAGAGCAACAGGAAACCAGGTTCATGGGCAAATGCTTTGTACTGTACTGCCTGACATCAGGATTTAGCACCCATCTCTATTCTACTTTCGCTAATTGCATTCCAAAAGCGAAATTCTGACTGATATTGGTTTTAATGTAATATTGTTCTTTATTGTTCTTGGGCTGCATGCATACTATTTCTTCTATAAGTTGTATTTTTTCCCCCTATGCGACATCAAATCTAGACTACATTGTAGATCGTTTTTAGAGTGCAATAAAGGGCATATTTCAAGAAATTGTAAATGTGCTTTTTAGCACATTAGCATTCATGAAAATATTCATTTACCTGATGGAAGTTGGATGAAAAGGTTGCCTTGCATATTACAAAAAAAATGCATGTAATTGATCTCTGTATAAAAAAAAGTCTTGGAAAACACTAGTATTTTGGAGACATGGGCTGCCTGTTTACTTATTGAACAGAACAAGCCTTTTCAAAGTGCAATATTGTTATTAAAAATCCGAGGTTGAGGTATACTATGTATATTTTCCCTTTCTAGTTTTTGTACCAGTTTTATAATTTTTCAAAAATAAGTGTTTATTACAGAAAATATTTTTTTTTGATTGTCTTAATATGTTTGCACACTCAGCTATCATATCTATATGTTTAAACATATGCATATACACACAGATACGATTCGTGTGTTTTGCCTGTAAATGCACAGATATATTTCTTATATATGAAAGTATACATATAAACGAAGATATGAGTCGTGTGTGTGTTTTGGGTGTAGATGCATAATTTGTAAAAGTAGATTTAACAGAAAGAGACTGAGCGGCTTACTTGTTGAGCTTGTGCCTTCCAATATTCCCTATTTTGATGTGACAGGTTGATGCTTATATTTCGAATCAATTGCGAGCCCAAATGGGATTTCATACAATGGAATTCTTAGACCTTTCCTTTACGTAGCTGGTGTTAGCAATGTAAGTCAAATTAAATGGATGTACAGATATATCTAAAGTAAGAACAATTGGCTCTTCACAAAAGCAGCTCACTGCTACCAAGAATAATCTGATTAGCCGATCTGTCTAATTTGCATGTAGATCCCTGAGGGCAGACAGTGAGCATGTGTTACATTAGACAGTTATACATCACCACACACTACGAAATCAATCACAAGGCTCATCTTGAAATGTACAGCTCTAAAACACATACTCTGGGTTTTGATGCCCATGTCTGTGAATCCACTGAAGCAGTTCCATTCTGATGCTAATCCGCCTCCTTTTCTATGTTACATGACAGTTTGGTAAAATATGAATTTTAATTACATGTATACCTAGTTGGTTGCCTTGGCCTTCCATTCTTCATTTATTTCAGCATTGCTGTCTGGAGACTGACTTTCGCCTGCAGTCATTTCACTACTAGGTGTGATTTATTTATACAGATTAAGCACCATGTAGATGTGATACTAATGTATGGGCATATAACCAATTATTGTTTGGTTTATTTCACACCCTTTAATCATTCAAGTTCCACTGAAACATTTTAATTAAGAATGCTTAGTGCATCTCAGCGAACAGATAGTTGCTGATCATTTATTTCAATCCATATTTTATTACAAATGCCATAAATGTATCAACACTGGGTACAATGTTCTCTTGATATCTCTTGACTATTCCCAAGGGCTTAAGATACACAAACATAAGTGTGTGTGTATATATCATATATTAGTTTCACCTTTTAAGTTGCATTAGTGAAATAAATGAACTTTGCACGATATTCTAATTATTCGAGTTTCACCTGTGTGTATATATATATATATAATATATTCACCAGTAAGCAATAATGTGTTGTATGCTTTCTACTTAAATAAGTATGATTGTAAAATATAACCATTTAAGACATGTTTTCACCATTGTTAGGGTTGCTTTTCCCTGATGAAGTTTTGATTATTGTTCAAAATGGGTGGTTCCAGATTTCTATTTGATTTGCATTGTGTTATTCTTCACTAAATATTAACAATAATAGTTTTGGTGAAGGTGTACCCATGTGTTGGTAAACATTTCTCATTCATCCTGTGTATTAATATTGCACTAACATACTCAGAGTCCGACATAACTGGATACAAAATTGTTGTCATTCATTATTTATAATTAACTGAAAAAGAAAACAAATGACATTCTATTCACGACTGTTCGTGGCACAGATTTAGTAGAGAAATACAAGGCTAAATGTGTCATTGCGCTGGACATAACATAAAAATGATGTGTTATTCTGTCTTTATGTTTTGTGGCCTTTCTTTTCCTAAGCTGTATAAAGGCCATCAATCTTGTGCAACACACGTTTACTTAAAAGTAAAGTAACAATAGATGGGGGTGGACCTAACAATCCAAAAGCCACCACTGCTTTGTGCACTATTCTGTGTATGAAAATAGTCATCAAGACGATGTGGTCATAAAATAAATAGCATTGATTTTTTTTTTTTGGTCTATCAACAGATGCTATTTTACCAAATGAATATATTATTTAAAAAAAACCTTCAGGACAACATGATATAAAATATGTCATTAGCTGCTTGCCTGCAAAGCAAACTCACATAGATTTTAGGTCATGTATAGGCTGTGTTTGTAGTCCATGCCTTGACCAGTTTAACAGTACTTAGCATGTAATAGTAATAGCCATAAGTTACCGGTTTTGTATGGAAGAAATGCTTGTTGTAATATA